AGCCCAGCAGGTCAAGGCTGCAGTGGCCGTGAGCATGCCACTGCACTCCAGCCTGGGCAACAGAGTGAGACTCCAACTCAAAAATTAAATTAAAAAAAGACAAATTTTCAGGCAAAATCGAAGGCAGTGAAGAGAAAACATGAGCCATAGTAGCATACAGACCTGGCTTTAAAAGTAGCCTTTGGCCAGGTGCAGTGGCTCATGCTTATAATCCCAGAACTTTAGACGGCTGAGGCGGGAGGACTGCTTGAGCCCAGGAATTCGAGTTCGAGAACAGCCTAGGTAACATAGTGAGACCTTGTCTCTACAGAAAATCAAAAAATTAGCTGGATATGGTGGCACGTGTTGGTAGTCCCAGGAGGTCGAGGCTGTGTCTCAGGAGGTCGAGACTGTGGTGAGCCGTGATCATGCCACTGCTCTCCAGACTGGAAGACAGAGTGAGACTCCAATTCCAACCCCCCCCCAAAAAAAACATCTAGCAATTTATTATCTGTATAAAGTTGGCCATATTATTGACTCCTCTATGCTTCCATTTTTCTCATCTGCAAGATAAGGACATTATCTTCTATTTCATGAACCCACGAGCATTAAATGAGTTAAGGCACGAATAAAGCCTTTAATAAACATTAACAGTCTTCTTCTCTTTCTATTATAAGAGATAGCAAAGTACAATAAATAGAGGAAGGATTTGGAATCAGAATCAGGTTCATGCTACAGCTCTACCACTCAGGTAATTGTGATCAAGGCAGTCAAACTCTCTGAACCTCATGCTTCTTGTCTACACAGATTGTTGTTCTATTGAACATACACCATCTATGTAAAAGCACTGGGCACAGTAAGCATTGGCATGGTAAGCCAATCGGGGTGGCTATCATGGTGGTGCCAATGTAAACAGTAAAAGACAAAGAACTAATCATCACTGGTCATTATAATGGAAAAACAAAACAAAGCAAAATCGGGTCTAAAAGCTTACACCTTTGCTTTAAAAAGTAGATAAAACAGACAGAATGGACAGTTTCTGCTTTCGAAATGCTTTCAAGCACAGTTATCATATTTATTTACGGGTACACGTAGTTTTATTGTGCTTCACTTTACTGTAATTCACAGATATTGTCCTTTTCTTTTTTAATTTTTATTTTAAAATTGTGGGGAACAATTCAGGGTTAGGTATACAAATATTCAGATATCGACTACTGTCAATCTCCCTCTGCCCTGCACAGTTTGTCCTTTTTACAAATTGAGGATTTTTGGCAACCTGTGTCCAGCCAAGGCACCATTTCTCCAAGAGCATGTGCTCACTTCTGTTATAGTCCAAGGCTTTGGGGGGGTTTCTTACATTTCTCATGTTTCATCCAAGTTGCTTATCTCAATGTACCAAGGTAGGTTCTTTTGATTGTTGTAACTTTTTCTTTCCCCATCCACAAGGAACTTAGCCTGGGGAAGTGGAATGTGAAGGATTATTAGGATATATTGAGTCATGCCCTTGTAATTTAGTCTGGGGTGTGGGGATAGCCTGAGGGGCCATAGAATATAAACTGAGTAAGTGGTACTGCCTTTGAGGGAGTTTTTGGTAATGATATTGTCTGTCTCCCTGTGACTTGGTTACAGAAATAAACTCTCTTTTCTATCAATTTCTGCCTCTTGTCTTTGACTGACTACAAGGGAAACAGCTGGACTAGTTTATATGGGAATACTTCACGTCTCCGTGTCACATTTTGATAATTCTCACAGTATTTCAAACTTTGTCATTATTATTGTCAGTTATGGTGATCTGTGACCAGTGAGCTTTGATGCTACTACTATTGTAATTGTTTTGAGGCACCACGAACCATACCTACATCAGATGGTGAACTTAATGGATAAATATTGTGTGTGTTCTGAATACTCCACTATTCCTGAATACTCCAGGCTGTTCCCTGTCTTTTGAAATTAGGTCAATTAAACCTTACAGTAGTCTCTTAGTGTTCAAGTGAAAGAAATAGTTGTCTCTCACCTTAAATCAAAAGCTAGAAATGATTAAGCTTAATAAGGAAGCCATGCCAAAAGTCTAGATGGCCAAAAGCCAGGCTCGAGCCAGTTAGCAAAGTTGTGAATGTGAATGAATGCAAAGAAAACTTCTTGAAGGAAATTAAAAGTGCCACTGCAGTGAACACACAAATGATAAGAAAATGAAACAATTCGGGCACGGTGGCTCATGCCTGTAATCCCAGCACTTTGGGAGGCCGAGACAAAAGGACTGCCTGAGCCCAAGGGTTCAAGACTAGCCTGGGCAACTTGGTGAGACCTCGTTTCTACAATAAATCAAAAAATTAGCCAGATGTGGTGGCACACAACTGTAGTTCCAGCTACTTGGAAGCCTGAGGTGGAAGGCTCGCCTCAACCCAGCAGGTCAAGGCTACAGTGGCCATGAGGATGCCACTGTACTCTAGCCTAAGCGACAGAATGAGACTCTGACTAAAAAAAAAATAAAAAATAAAGAATGAGAAGTGGAACTTGAAGACGTAACTAAATTACTGCAATTTTATAATCAAACTTGAAAAGATGCAGAGTTGCCTCTCACGGATTAGCAAAGAAAGTGGTTTCTTGAGATGAAATAATTCTGGTAAAGATGCTGTGAACATTGTGGAAATGACAACAAAGGATTTAGAATACTGCAATGCTAAAGCAGCAGCAGGGTTTGAGAGGACTTGACTCCAATTCTGAAAGACGTTGGTAGATTCTATCTTTGGATTTTTACTCTTAGGCAGCAAGCTAAACTATCTTGGAAATTAAAATAGAAAGTAACCCCCAAAAGATCAAATTGCTTTACATTAGAAGAAAATATGTTTTTACATAGATTTTCAGCTACCTGGTTCAAGGTGATGACTACAGCTAGCCTCGATACATAAAAAAAGATCTTGCTCATTGTTATTAGTGGGAAAGACCCTCGGTTGTAATCACCATATTTTGAATAAGTCTTAGCTGGTCCATTCTTTGATGAAAGGAGCTTATTTTATAGCTTAAAATGAACAAAGTTTAAAGCGTGTTATCCTGTAACTGCATTTTGCACTTTGGCCTCAATTAGCACTACTCACACTAATCTGACTTGAGGTGAAAACTAACCATTACTGAATGTATCTACATTACACAATCCACTTGCTATGTGCTCTGCACATAATGCTGTTTATTCCACAGGCTAACTGCAGTAGCAATTCTTTTTTTTTTTTTTTTTTTTGAGTTGGAGTCTCACTCTGTCACCCAGACTGGAGTGCAGTGGCCGCTCCCTGCTACTGCAGCCTCTACCTGCTGGGCTCCGGAGATCCTTCCGCCTCAGCCTTCCAAGCAGCCGGAACTACAGGTGCACACTACCACGCCCAGCTCATTTTGATTTATTGTAGAGATGAGGTCTCGCCAAGTTGCCCAGGCGGGTCTCGAACCCGCGGGCTCAGGCGATCCACTCACCCCAGCCTCCCAAAGGCGCGGGATTACAGGCTGGGCCACCGAGCCCGGCTACAATTCTAATCTCTATTTTGCAGATGAAGAGAATAACTGGCAGAGACAAATTTCAGCTCATCGTTTGTTTCGATCCACAATCTTGCTACTAAACTATACTTCTTATTAAAATTATAATAAATAGAAATCCTATAGCTTTACTTTTTAGAAATCATAAATAAAAAAAGCTTCCCTCTTTCCGAAAGCAAGAGAAAAAGAAACTTTTGCTGTCACTACTAAAATGTTAATCCACCCCATGTAGACCAATGTGGTAAATAACAAACGAGAAAGGTGATATAGCTGTACTAAGTGAAATTCAAAACATAAGAACACATCTGAAAAGACGAAAGTACCATTAACTTTATAAGTCATTTTCCTATTGCTTATCCTCAAGCTAATAATTTCAAAATTATGTAGCTGTAAACAAATATAACTTTATTTGGCTCTCTGCTTTTTATCTCCAAAGAAAACAGATGTAACCTTGGGAGTTTGGGAGATTCGAAGTTCAGACACAAAAACAAAAAGATGAAAGCATTGTATTAAAAAGTAAACCTATTCTCAAAATATGAAACCTACCTATATCCTTAATAAATAAAACAGAATTCCATGTTACAGTGACACAAATATTGAATTTTAAAATGAAAAATAAATATCCCACAAAATGTGATTGACATAGCAATTGCTCTAATAACTTACAGTAGATCTAAACAAACATTATATATTATAGAAAAAATTTATGAAAGTGTCAAGATCAAAACTAATATCTCAGCCGGGTGTGGTAGCTCATGCTTGTAATCCCACCACTTTGGAAGGCTGAAGTGAAAGGATCACTTGAGGCCAGGAGTTAGAGACCAGGCTAGGCAACAAAGCAAGACTAGTCTCTACAAAATATAGGAAAATTAGCCAGGTATAGTGGTGCATGCCTGTAGTCCCTGCTACTTGGGAGGCTGAGATAGGATAATCACTTGAGCCCAGGAGTTCAAGGCTGCAGGGAGCTGTACTACTGCACTCCAGCCTGGGTGACAGAGTGAGACCGTGTCTCAAGAAAATTAAATATAGTATAGAACAATCACATCACACTAAATAATTTATTTTTCTTACCTACAGTTGTTATTTTTTAGTAGACATGACTTGCCTTTTCCTTTCAGTTGTGTGATAAACCACATTATAAGAGCTTTCAATATTAATAATTCTACAGCATTCAGAGAGTTGTCAAGTGTTAGTCTAGTATATTTTATTCATTGTTTTCTCTATGTATTTAAGCCCTTTCCTCATTAATAACAAATATATTGCTTTCGATCATCACATATATATTGGTAAGTTTTCAGTGTAACCCAGAAAGTTACTCTCTAACTTAGGCTGCTGGGAAAAGATTCATTTCTATGATTTAAATAGAAAGCAAATTAAACAGTACATAAACATATTGAATTCAAGATGTTGGTCATATATAGATTTATTTCATTTTCTCAGAAAAAAATTCTTAAAATATCTAAATGTCTGGATTTTAAAAATGAATTTTGAGCACTCACCGATTGCATGCTTACTCCAACTTGTTGAAAAACCATCCTAATTAGGCGCTTAATCCAGCCAAGCATTTAGATGGCAAAGTCTCCCCAAATTTGCATTTCAAGTACTTCAGGCATACATAGCAGCACATGGTCCATGAAGCACACTAAAAATTTAAAATGCAAATACTAAAATGAAATAATTATTATTTAGAATCTGTACTGTCTACACGTCTCACAAAGTAAGCCTAAAACATTTTAAAACTTCATGTATAAATTAAGAGAAAACAAGATTTGCATGTGATCAGTTTGCTTAATAGTCCAAGGTGTTTTTTAAAGATTTCTTTTCCAGTCAGGGCTCTTAGTTGGAAGCAACAAAAACCTACTTAGTTTAAGTAAAAAAATACATTTATGAAAAGATATCTGGTGAATACTAGTCTTCAGAGAATCGGATTTATAGGCTCCACAGCCAGGAATGATATTCAAAACCGCAGCAGAATTGGTCCTGGGAAAACACCACTGCAGCGACTGCTGCCACCACCGCAGACACAACATAGTCCACCCAGTTCCTCCTCTTCTGTGTCACCAGCTCCTGAGGTGCTGTCCATACTGCTGCATTTGCCTAACAAAACTAAAGCTCACATGCCCTATTAGCAAGAAGGAGGCTGGTAAAGGAAGTATCTGGCTCAAGTAAGAAGCAGGTTCTGCTTCCCACCAAAAATCACGAAGAAAGGAATTCCAGAAACACAGAATAGAAGTTCAGACGCAAGAAGGCCAAAAATAAGGCAAAAGTCCTTTTACACTCACGGGCACCATAACCCCTGCCACTAACTCTGCACCACCTCTACCCCATCAATATACTGCATATCTGACAGAATTAAAACGTAAACTCATATGGCATAGACTAGTTCACTAGATGTTCAGACAAAAGTTCACTTTTATCCACTATACCATGCTTCTACCATAATGGAGTAGTTTGAGGAACCGATTCAAAATGCTGAGTGTTTTCTACTTTTATATTTTATATTGTGATTTCTACTCAACTTTCAACATGTTTATATTCTCAAACTAATTACATAAAATACTGAAGTATTAAGGCTCTTTTTTAATACAAAAAAAAGTAGGTTGACATTAGCAGGAATAGAAAATGAAAAATGGATTCAGGATACCAATGCAAATAAGAATTAACTAGACTTGATAAAGTGGCTGGATAAAGCTGGGTGTGGTGGCACCGGCCTGTAGTCCCAGCTAGCTACTTAGGAGGCTGAAGCAGGTGGATCACTTGAGCCCAGGAGTTCAAGATCAGCCTAGGAAACACAGGAAACCTTTGACTTTTTATATTAAAAAAAAAAAAATTAAAAAGTTAAAGTGACTGACTAGAGAAAAAAAAGAAGAGGGAGAAAATCAAATGACCCCAAGGTTTTAATCAGAGAGATGGAAATTATGGCTGTCAAATAAGGAAATGCTGGAGAGTAAAGGTCTTCAATGAAGATGAGACTAAGATAACAGAAGCATATCTAGGTGAGATTACACAGTACAATTCTAAGTACCAGCGAGAATATTAATTACTTCAAAATGTCCATGTCTAGAGATCTTTGTTCAGACAAATAGATTTTAATGTTACCGATATCTACTATTGGTTGTATGAATGAATCCTCTCTCTGGGAGCCAGTGGGAATAAAAGAAAAGCAAAGGGTCAAAAGTAATCTCAAAGGTAGAAATGACTGGCAAAAAACTGGCAGGGAGAAAGGATGGTTTCATGGGGAGTTTGAAAACCTATCACTTTTTTTGTTAATTGAGATCTTACAGAGAAAAAGACACAAAGTTTAAATGTCTAGCTTGACAATTTGTACATATGTAAATACCTCTGTAACCAATCACCACACAGATCAAGATACAAAAGTTTCAGAATCCGGTCAGTAACTATGCCTTACCTATTTAACCACTATTCTTTTGTTTGTTTTAGTCGAAGTATCACTCTGACATCCAGGCTAGGGCGCAGCTGCACAACTACAACTTACCTCAGCCTCCTAAGTAACTGAGACTACAGGCACATCCCACCACACTTGGATAATTTTTTAACTTTTTGTAGAGAAAGGGTCTTGCTATGTTGCCCAGGCTGGTCTTGAACTCCTGGCCTCAAGCAACCTTCCCATCTCAGTCTCTCAAAACACTGGGATTTCAGTCATGAGTCACTATATCCAGATGCAATTTTCTTTTCTTTAATTTTAACACTTCTAGTGTTTTATTAACATGTTTTGGAAAATTTTGATATTTTCTTTTTCTTTTTTTAAGTTGGAGTCTCACACTGTAGCCCAGGCTAAAATGCAGTGGCACGCTTACGGCCACCCAAGTGTCAACTGGCTGGGCTCAAGCGATCCTTCCTTCTCAGTCTTCCAAGTAACCTGAACTACAGGTGCATACTACCGCTCCTGGCTAATTTTTTTATTTATTGTAGAGATGAGGTCTCGCCAAGTTGCCCAGGCTGGTCTCGAACCTATGGGCTCAGCCAATCTTCTCACCACAGCATACCAAAGTGCTGGGATTACAGGCTTGAGCCACTGCGCCCAGCCTTGATATTTTCTTTTGTGAACTGTTTAAGTCTTTTCCTCATTTTTTTTTTTGTTTGCTTATTGAGCATTTATTATATGCCAGGCATTGTGGTAAGCACTTTATATATTTTTTCATAGTTCCTCAGAAAAGTAGGTATTGCTGTTTTTTTATTTTTATCTTTTTTTGCTTTTAATTTTTTTATTTTAGAGATGTGGGGTACAATTAAGGGTTAGGTATACAAATGCTTATTATGCAGGTACCTTTGTTGATGAGGTGTACCCCCCTCCCCTGGCAGAATCCCACTATTGCCAATCCCACCTCCTCTCCTTTTGCTCATTTTTTTAAAGACTTTTATTTTTTACAGCAGTTTTAAGTGTACTGAAAAATTGAGTGGAAGGTGCAGGGAGATTCCACTTAAGCAGTCTCCCCACTGTCACCATCCCACACAAAATGATATATTATTTATTTCACTCAGTGAACCCATACTGACACATCACTGTCACCAAATGTTCACAGTTTACATCAGAATTCACTCTTGGCACTGTACATTCTATGTGTTTTGAAAAATGTATAACCATTATAATATCATACAGAATAACTCCACAGTCCCCAAAATCCTATATTCAGCCTATTCATCCAACTCCCCATTCTGTACAACCCCTGGTAATCACTGATCCTTTTATTGTCTCCAGTTTTACCTTTTACAGAATATCATAAAATTAGAATCATACAGTGTGTAGCACTTTCAGATTGGCTTCTTCCACCTAGTAATATGCACTTAAGATTCTTTTATGGCGTTTCATGGTTCGAGACCTCATGTCTCTGCATATTAAGAAAGTCCATTGTTTAGATGTACCACGGTGTATTTATCCATTCACCTGCTGAAGGACATCTTGGATGCTTTCAAGTTTGACAGTTATGAATAAAGCTTTTAGAAACACGTGTGCAGGTTTTATTCATTTTTTAAATGAACAGTCCAAAGAAACAAAACCAATAGGGTACATATGGATACATAGAGATTGATTATGAGGGACTGGCTCACACAATTGTGGCGGCTGGAAAGTCTTACATTTGCCATGTGCAAGCTGGAGACCGACAGAGCTAATGGTGGTTAGTCACCCAGCACTTTGGGCAGCCAAGATGGGAGGATCGCTTGGGGTCAAGAGTTCAAGACTAGCTTGGATAATATAGCAAAATCCCATCTCTACAAAAAAAAATTTTTTTCTTTAATTTTTAATTTAAAAAAAAATTGACTGGGTATGGTGGCTCAAGCCTGTAATCCCAGCACTTTGGGAAGCCAGGGAGAGAGAGCTGCCTGAGCCCAGGGGTTTGAGACCAGCCTGGGTAACCTGGTGAGACCTCGTCTCTACAATATATATTAAAGAAATTAGCTAGGCATGGTTTCACATGCCTGTAGTTCCAGCTACTTGGCAGACTGAGGTGGAAGGATCACCTGAACCCAGCAGGTCGACACTGGGGTGGCTGTGAGCGTGCCACTGCACTTCAGCCTGGGTAATAGAGTGAGACTCTGACTCAAAAAAAAAAAAAAAAAATTAAGACAGGCACAGAGGTTCATGCCTGTAATCCCAGCACTGTGGGAGGCAGAAGGCAGAGGATTACCTGAGCCCACAGGTTCGAGACCAGCCTAGGCAACATGGCAAGAACTCATCCCTACAATAAATAAAAAAATTAACTGGATGTGGCGGTGCACACCTGTAGTTCCAGCTACTTGAAAACTAAAGCAGAAGGATCACCTGAGCCAAGCAGGTCAAGGCTGCAGTGGCTGTGACCGTGCTACTGCACTCCACCCTGGGTGACAGTGAGATTTCCACTCAAAAAAAAAAAAAAATTATCAGATAGGTTTTTTTCTATGACTGGAAAATTATTTTTATTTGCCAGGAAGAGGTATTTCTTAAGTGTGGTCTAGAGATAAAGAACCCAAGGGTAGGCCAGGTTTGGTGGCTTAGCCTGTAATACCAGCACTTGGAGAGGCTGAGGCAAGAAGATCACCTGAGCCTGAAGGTTCGAAACCATCTCGGGAAACTTGGCAAGACCTTGTCTCTACAATAAATTAAAAATTAACCAGGCATGGTAGCGTGGGCCTGTAGTTCCAGCTACTTGGAAGGCTGAGGCGGAAGGATCGCGAGCCCAGCAGGTCAACGCTGGAGTAGCTGTGAGCATGCCACTGCACTCCAGCCTGGGCGACAGAGTGAGACTTCAACTCAAAAAAAAATACAAGATACAAGGGTACCTACATAATGAACATTTGTATACCTAACCCTGAATTATACTCCACATCTTTAAAATTAAAAAACAAAAAACAAAAAAACAGAGCACTCATTCAGAAAAAAAGAGATGAAATGAGTTAACTCTTATAGAACAAGGAAAAAAAGGCAGGACAGAAAGCTCAGGAAATACCTGTAGAACAAACAAAAAAATAAGACACTGAGAAAAAAATGATCAAAGTAGAAAAATGAGAGTGGTATTGACAATGACACACACACACACACCCCCACACACAAAGAGGAAAATTTCAAGAAAGGTAATAGTCTCTGTTAAACATGGAAGGGAGGTTATATAGTTGATGGCCTTTTACTGCTATCCTTCCTTCAAA